GAGGCTGTTCTGGATTGATGCCTTTTGGAGGAAGGTGGGAGAAGGCTGCTTCGCTGTCAGAAAGGCGGAGTTGAACGGGATGCATTTAAAAGTTTGCCAGAAAGTTTCCCGTCCAAACTGGCAAAGGATTCATTTTTTTTTTTTTTGCAAAGCACTGTGTATTTTTCATTTTTTGATGGGGAGACACATTTCCCCTGCAGATTTCTCTCCTTGAAGAACCAACTGGCTTGTGCTGAAGCATCATTTCATCTGTGAGTACTCGGTTCGTATTAATTTGATCCTCCCTTCCGTCTCCTGCTATCATTTTAGGAGGAATTTAAGAACCAGCTTTTTTTTTTAAACAGTTCTGCAATTCTTAAAATTGCCTTGGACTCTTAAGCTCGCCTTTCACAGGGCACAGGGTGTAATGGAATTCGTAGGTTCAAAATAGGTTTTTTTCCCCAGAAAGAAAAAAATTGTGATTTTTAAAAAAGGGTTCAAAATAGTTTCCCCCCCCAAAAAAAGCAAAGTCTTGTGGTTTTAAAAACTGCCATGTTGATAACAGTGTAAAGAGTGGGGATTGAATCTGTCAATGTATGCGGGTACTGCTTTGAATGTATTGCAATTTTTTATTTTTTATTTTTATTTTGCTAATATGAAAGTGTTCCTGCTCTCTTAAAAGACTCTTCTGAGTTTCTCTCTTGTGGTAGATCCAGAAGGAACCTGCTTGGACAAAGGTGGATGAGAAAATCCATGCCTAAGAAATCTTATTTTCTAGCATGATTCTTGCATCTTTTTCTTTCAATCATTCGATATTTTTGATGAGTTCAGTTCCTGGATATTTGCAAATGGAAGACTCCCAGCATCGATTAAAAAATTATGGAGCAATGAATTAAAACTTAAAATAAAAAGACTCTTATCAATTAAAAGTCATTGTGAGCAATGAATTAAAACTTAAAATAAAAAAGACTCTTATCAATTAAAAGTCATTGTGAGCAATGAATTAAAACTTAAAATAAAAAAGACTCTTATCAATTAAAAGTCATTGTGAGCAATGAATTAAAACTTAAAATAAAAAAGACTTATCAGTTAAAAGTCATTGTGAGCAATGAATTAAAACTTAAAATAAAAAAAGACTCTTATCAGTTAAAAGTCATTCTGAGCAATGAATTAAAACTTAAAATAAAAAAAGACTTATCAATTAAAAGTCATTCTGGAGCAGTAAATTAAAACTTAAAATAAAAAAGACTTATCAACTAAAGTCATTGTGAGCAATGAATTAAAACTTAAATGAGATGTTCTTTTAAAAAAATTGTTTGCTTCAGAATGATTCTTAATTGATAGATGGAATCTTTTTTTAATTGATCCCTCCAGAACTATTTTTAATTGTTAAATAAGGTCTGTTTTTAACATAAAAGTAATTGTTTGTTTCCAGAACTATTTTTAGCTGATAACATGGAGTCTTTTTAAAGTTTTAATTCATTGCTCCAGAATGAATTAAATGCTCGATTAAAAACAATTCTGGAGATTTCAATCCATTAAAAAAGATTTCCATCTATCAATTAAGAATCGTTCGGGAGCAATGTTATTTTTTAAAGACTCCACCTGTCAAAAAAAGCATTCAGAGGAAACTATTTAAATTTTTTAAAAGTACTCCATTTATCCATTTGCATATCTTTCTGGAGCAATCAATTAAAACTTTAAAAAAAGATTCCAACAGTAATTAATTCATTTTGCAGCAATAGAGCTTTCTTCTCTCTGTAATTGACTTGAAAGAAGCTACTAACAGATGTTTCCTAATAGTTCCATCACATCTGCAGGTGTTCCTTTCTTACGACGACAATTGAGCCCAAAATTGCTGCTGCTAAGCAAGACAGTTGTTAAGTGAGTTTTGCCCCATTTTACAATCTTTTTTTGGCACAGCTGTTAAGTGAATCACTGCAGTGGTTCAGTTGGTAACGTGGTTGTTAAGTGAATCCCCATTGACTTTGCTTGTCAGAATGTCACAAAAGGGGATCACGTGACCCTGGGACACTGCGGCCGTCATAAATATGAACCAGTCACCAAGCATCTGAATTTGATCACGTGACCAGGGGATGCTGCAAAGGTTGTGTGAAAAACGGTCCCAAGTCGCATTTACCAGTGCCGTTGTAACTTCAAACAGTCGCTAAATGAATTATTGTGAGGACTGCCTGTACCATATGCATATGAAAGACATCCAGAGGGAAAAGTAATACTTTGGGGTTTGGGAAATTATGGAGAACAATTAACCAATGGAACAGTCTGCCTTCTGGAATTGTGGGTGCTCCGTCATTGGAAGTTTTGAAAAAGAAACTGGACGTTTGTTTGCGTGGGATGAAATAAGGAGCCCTGTTTGAGCGGGGGTGGGGGGGTGGACTAATTCACCCTTGAATTTCATTTTGTTAGTTAGTGCCCAGTGTTCAAGTCTGTCCAGATCCTCCTGTATCTTAAGCCTGTCTTCTGGAGGGTTGGCTATTCCTGCCAGCTTGGTGTCGTCTGCAAATTTGATGAGTTCCCCATCTATCCCCTCATCCAAATCGTTGATGAAGATGTTGAAGAGCACTAGGCCCAGAACGGAGCCCTGAGGCACCCCACTACACACTTCCCTCCATGTAGATGTGGTTCCATTAAGGATGATGCGTTGACTGTGGTGAGTCAGCACAAATCCATCCAGTGGCAATGTGTGCTGCTTTGTCTCCCTGTCCACTCCCCTGTTCATTTTAAGCAGGCATTGTGTTAAAGCGTGCCTCCTTGTATTGTGGACCTCGGAGTCCTAGTAGACAATCACTTAAATATGAGCCAGCAGTGTGCGGCAGCTGCCAAAAAGGCCAACACAGTGCTAGGTTGCATTAACAGAGGGATAGAATCAAGATCACGTGAAGTATTAATACCACTCTTCAATGTCTTGGTAAGGCCACACTTGGAATACTGCATCCAGTTTTGGTCACCACGATGTAAAAAAGATGTTGAGACTCTAGAAAGAGTACAGAGAAGAGCAACAAAGATGATTAGGGGACTGGAGGCTAAAACATATAAGGAACGGTTGCTAGAATTGGGTATGTCTAGTTTAACGAAGAGAAGGACAAGGGGGGACATGATAGCAGTATTCCAATATCTCAGGGGCTGCCATAAAGAAGAGGGAATTAAGCTATTTTCCAAAGCACCTGAAGGCAGGACAAGAAGCAACGGGTGGAAACTAATCAAGGAGAGAAGCAACCTAGAACTAAGGAGAAACTTCCTGACAGTGAGAACAATTAATCAGTGGAACAGCTTGCCTCCAGAAGCAGTAAATGCTCCAACACTGGAAGTTTTTAAGAAGAGACTGGACAGCCATTTGTCCGAAATGGTGTAGGGTTTCCTGCCCGAGCAGGGGGTTGGACTAGATGACCTCCAAGGTCCCTTCCAACTTTACTACTACTATTATTATTATTATTTTTAAATGGGAAGCAATGTATAAATAAACGATGGGTGTTATCGTATCATTTAGCATTACAGGTGGTGTAAGTACTACAGCTTATGACCACCTTTGGGAGCAGAATTTCCGTTGTTAAGAAAGGCAGTTGTTGAGTGAGTCGTGTGACGTTCATAAGCGCAAGGACCGTTTGCAAGTCCCCCTTTTCAGTGCTGTTATAACTTTGAAACGGTTGCTAAACGAACGATTGGAGGTTGAGGACTACCTGAACAGGGCATCTGAGTTTCCTCCATGGTGAACCATAAGGCACATCTCAGCTCCTCCACTGACTCCATGGAGGTGCCCAAGAGCCATGCTTTTTCCGGCATGTTTTTTTCAACCTGCCCCTTCACTGTTCATCAACCTGTTGGTCTCCCATCCAACATCCAACCAGGTCCAACACTGCTTAACTTTCCAAGGTCAGGGCTGGTGAAATACTGCCACCCGGTGGCATAATTAGGATGCACTAAAAAAAAAGCTGTTGAAGGGGAATATACATCTCGCTGGATAACGTTGCAGGAATCAATTTGGGTCAGTCACCGGGACCAGAAGTTTAGTCTTCTGAGCTTACGGACTGGAGCCCATTTTCAGGCAACTTTTCTCTAGCAGAAATTCTCTGAAGGTGGACTCTGACACAAGTCCAAAAGCTCAGAAGACAGAACCAGATTGGATCCTGCAAAAAAGCCATTGATCACAGCAAAATGTTGAGCTGAAATTAACCTTAATTTGGGACCGGGCTGTGATTTAGGTAGTTCTCCCAGGTAGGTGGATATATTTGGGGCACACTGTATGGGACCGAAGGATTTTGCAGATGGGGGGGGGAGAAGAAAGAGGGAGGGAGGAGAAAGAAAAAGAAAGAGGAAGGGAGGGGAAGAGAGGAGGAAGGGAAAGTGGGGGAGAGGAGAGGGGAGATGTACATTGTACACAAATAGAGCAAATCCTGCTTTTTTCTAGCACTGATGATGTTCCCTAGTTGGTCATGAAACGTCTGCAAGAAAACCACCCAGCTCGGAGAGCACCAGGGACCCCCAGTCCTTCCTCCTCCTTCTCATGCCCCCCTCCCTTCTAGCACTGATGATGTTCCCTAGTTGGGTCATGAAATGTCTTCAAGAAAACGAACAAGCTCAGAGATCACCACAGTTCTCTTCCTCTTTTCTTCCTCATCCTCCTTCTCTCCTTCTTCTCTCTGCACATCCCACTCCCTTCTAGCACTGATGATGTTATCTAGTTGGGTCATGAAATGTCTGCAAGAAAATGAACAAGCTCAGAGGACAGCAAGGACCACACAGTCATTGTTCTCTTTCTCCTCTTTCTCCTCCTCCTCCTCCTCCTCCTCGTAAACCCCCCTCCCTTTTAGCACTATGTTATGTAGTTGGGTCACAAAACATCTTCAAAAAAACAACCATGCTCAGAGACCACCTAGAACTGCACAGAATTAATTATTTAATTAATGAGTCAACCAATAAATGAATGTTAGTGAATGAATGATTCGATGAATGAACGAACAAACGAATTCATATACTCCCATCTCCCCATTTTTATCTCGCAGGCCATAAATGATCAGCCCCTATGACCAACATGAGCTGGAGTTTCCTTACCCGCCTGCTGGAAGAAATTCACAACCACTCCACTTTTGTGGGGAAGATCTGGTTGACCGTCCTCATCGTCTTCCGCATCGTCCTGACAGCCGTGGGGGGCGAGTCCATCTATTCGGACGAGCAGAGCAAATTCACCTGTAACACCAAACAGCCGGGCTGCGACAATGTCTGCTATGATGCCTTCGCCCCGCTTTCCCATGTCCGCTTCTGGGTCTTCCAGATCATCATGATCTCCACCCCGTCTGTCATATACTTGGGCTACGCCATCCACCGGATCGCCAGGTCCTCAGAGGAGGAGAAAAAGAGATTCCGGAGCTTCAAAAAGAAGAAGAAGCAGTTTGTCCTCAACTGGCAGGCGTCCCATCATCTGGAAGATTCTTTGGGTGCCGAAGAAGAACCTATGATCTCTGAGGAGATGGTGGAGAACGAAGAGAAGGAGAAGACCAAGGAAGAGGAGGAGAAGAAGAAGGGGCAGAAACATGATGGCCGGAGACATATCCAAGAAGAAGGGCTGATGAAAATCTACGTCTTCCAACTTCTCACCAGAGCCTCCTTCGAAGTCTGCTTCCTGATAGGTCAATACATGCTCTACGGTTTCGAGGTGAGACCCTACTATCTCTGCACCCGCGATCCTTGTCCCCATAATGTTGACTGCTTTGTGTCCAGGCCCACGGAGAAGACCATCTTCCTCCTGGTGATGTATGTGGTCAGCTGCCTTTGTCTGTTGCTCAACCTGGCGGAGATGTGCCATCTGGGCATCGGTACCATCCGGGATGCCATTCGTGAACGGAAAATCCACAACGTCCGACAGCCACCGTACAATTATGCCGCCTACCCCAAAAACATCTCTTGCCCGCCTGAGTACAACCTGGTGGTCAAATCGGACAAATCGGCCAAGATCCCCAACAGCCTGATGGCCCAAGAACAGAACTTGGCCCATGTGGTCCAGGAGCAGCAGTGCACCAGTCCCGATGATAACATCCCTCCCGATTTGTCCATCCTCCATAAACAGTTACGGGTGGCTCAGGAGCAACTGGACATCGTGTTCCAGAGTTACAACGGCACTCAGGGACACAGCCAGCCCTCCAGAACCAGCAGCCCGGGCTCCAGTGGGTCTATGGCAGAGCAGAACAGGGCCAATATTGCGCAGGAGAAACACGGGACCAAGCCAAAAACCAGTTCGGAGAAAGACAGCGTCAACAGCAAAGATGGGAAAAACTCTGTATGGATTTAAGAAGGAGGAAGCAGGTCAAAGGATCTTACTATCTTGGTGGCTTTGCATCAGGAGATGGTGGGTATCTCTTCTTTGTTTACGAGGACAAGGCTAAAATGAGACGTCCACCAGTAGTCCACCAGAGGCCTTTTCTCAGTCCCTTGCTTGGTTGATTCCCATCTTTCGTTTTCCGGGTAAAGCAGAATCTTTGTGCTAGAAATCCGTGTGAGAGAGATCCGTCCTCAAAGTTCTTCCAGGGAAGATTCAAACCAGGTGCTGATGGCAAGATGGATCCTTTGACTAGAGGCTCCAGAAATCAGAAGAGACAGAATTAAATTCCTGTCAATAAAACTTTGGCCCAAAAGCCCAATTTCTCAACCTGTCTTGAGGGTTGAGGATCTCAGGTATAATCCACCTTTTGAAACCGATGGCATTTACCGCACTATCCTTCTTTATCTCTTTCTCGTCCTCCTTGCTTGTCCGAGTTTTCTACTTCTTCCTTCTGACAAGCTGCCTTTAAAAAAAAAAAAATCAACAAACCAACTCTTTTCTCTTTGTCATTTTGACATTCTCTTCCTACCGAGACAGGATTACTTCTCTCAATTTTGTGCCTGCCAAATAATTTAGTTTATGAGTGTTTTCTTTTGAATCTAGGACAGACTTGGGCTTGAGAAAGCTGCATTGGTTTTTTTTTTAATGTTTTTTACCATTTTTTTTTCTATTGGCAAAGTGAAGTCTCCTGTCCTATGATTATGGTAAAAGAGGGGACCTGGTTTAAATAAATGACATCCACTGTTCACGAAGAGTACCACTGTGTGTGGATAGTGGCCTGTTGTAGAGTTCTCCGTTTGGCATTCCCACCTGTGTTAAGCAATTGTGAGGACGAATCGTGTTGTCTCTTTCTTGGTGCATGGAAGATTTCTTTTGAGGGCTAAAATAACCCCGAACCGAATTAATTTCCAAGTCCCTGGTGGGATGGCAACATCTGGAGATGTTTCCGAAATGTCATAGTTCTGAACCGCGAGCCATATCCACCGAAAGTGAGATTTTAAAATTGAAAACCTCTGTAACTGCGACTAAAGATTAACTAACCCGCAATTTTGGCAGTGAGGTCACTGCAAAACAGTTTCTGGAAAGCAAATTCGGTCTTTTCCAAGAAAATGGAGTCTCCAGAAGAAGATCTACGTGAGAGAAAGAAGATCTGAAGCCAGTGTCTGGGTTGGCTTCAGCTACATCGTGCATTTGGCGATGGATGGTATTTTATTTTTATTTTATATTATCTTCTCTGCAGCTTCGCTAAGAAATGAGTTCCAGGAAATATGAAGGTGGTTTCATGAAGGATTGGGCCCCTTCAAAGATTGCAGAATGGGAAAAATGAATTGAGCCACTGTAAAGCAGGTTTTCTCAACCTTGACTGCTTGAGGATGGGTGGAGATCGACTTTAGCATGGCTGGCTGGGGAATTCTGGCAGTTGAAGTCCACCCATCTTAAAGTTGCCGGGGTTGAGAAAAATTTCTCTAGGGACTTTGAGCAATAGAAAAAGTCTTCACTGAATCCCTTTCACAAGGCAACTAGACTTTCTTGTTTTTCTTTTGAAGACGTTTCGCTTCTCATCCAAGAAGCTTCTTCAGCTCTGACTGGATGGTGGGGAGAATGGCAGGATTTATACTCCTTGCAGACAGCTGGTCATTTGCCTTTTTTGAGAGAGTCATTGAGGCTACCTGGAGGTTTATCTGTGTCCTCATGGAACGTTCTTATTATGCTTTGAAGACGTTTCGCTCCTCATCCCAGAAGCTTCTTCCGCTCTGACTGGATGGTGGGGAATGGAAGGATTTATACTCCTTGTAGACCGCTGGTCATTTGCCTTCTTTTAGAGAGTCGTTGAGGTCACTTTTTCGAAGATAGCAAAGTCTACACTTTGGACAGAGAGGACCGCTGGTTTAAAAGAGGGGTCAAAGAGGCCATCTAGGTCAAAACTGAACAGCCTTCTCTCAACAGGGGGATTTGACACCATGTATCTCCCGTCCACAACACAGTCCTTTCAGCAGTTCCAAGAAGGCTCCACATCCATTTGCACTACTCAGGTGACCCTGAGGACACAGATAAACCTCCAGGTGGCCTCAATGATCCTCTAAAAAAATGCAAATGACCGGCTGCAAGAAATATAAATCCTTCCATTTCCTACCATTCAGTCAGAGCTAAAGAAGCTTCTTGGATGAGAAGCGAAATGTCTTCAAAAGAAAAACAAGAAAGTCCAGTTGCCTCGTGAAAAAGCATCTTTGGGACAACCCTGAGCTGGATGACTGAGACGTCCACAGACGTCTTTATTGAATCTTTGTGGACAGAGATTATCTTAAAACAAGTTGGTCAGGGCTTGATTTGGACGAGACCGGGAATGAGATGTCCTCGCATCACGCCAAGATGCTGGTGGTGGTGAACCATTACCTCTTCTTCCATTCAGAAGTTCGGAGATGTTGTTGTATAGAGATAGATTGCTTCTCTAAATACTTGGCTGTTTCATTCTTCCATATGGGTTTACAAATATATATGGCCCGAGAACTGCTGTGATCCTTCAGACCAATATTCACTTAGTCTAGCCTTCTAGTCAGATATTCTGTTCCTCAGAATAAAGTAAAATGGAGGTTCTCCTTTGTGGCTGGCATAAATATTATGACTTGTAATAACCAAGAAATCTAAATGGAATTGAGATTTCCTCTTGATGACTTCGTGCAGCCATGTAGAACAGTGTTCCTCAACTTGGCAACTTGAAGATGTGGACTTCAACACCCAGAATTCCACAGCTGGAGAATTCTGGGAGTTGAAGTCCACTCCTGGTGGCTGGAGAGTTCTAGAAATTGAGGTCCAGATGTATTAAAGTTGTTGAAGTTGAGAAACAGAGGTGGAGAGAATAAGGAAGTGAGCTGGACAGAGATAGATCTGATCCATTACTAGACCCATGAGGGGAAAAACATGGCTGAAATCCAAAACGTGCAAGCAATACAGATACAAATGTGTGTAAGGGGAGGGGGAAGTTGTTATGCAAAATTTTTTTTCCCTATATGCTCATATTAGGCCGGTATTTACGAACCTTAGTAATGTGAAGACTTGTGGACTACAACTCCCAGAATTTTTCACACTGGCTAGGAAATTCTGGGAGTTGAAGTCTACACCTCTTCAAGCTGCCAATTATACTGATTTATTGCGTATAATTCAGTCATTTTTTGTTACTGTTTTCTTCCAGAATGTTTTGTGTCTCCTCGTGTAGCCTACATCTCTGAGGGGTTTTGGGTGGTCTCCCATTTTAAGTCCCCCATAATGAAGTTTGATCCTTCTTAGCTATTGAGATCAGCCAAGAGAGACTTAAGTGTACTGTTTATTTAATCTTCATAAACATAGGTTTATGTCAACTGGGAATTGTGGACCTTGAAGCCTAGGCAAGGGTTGGACTAGAAGACCTCAATAGTCTTTTCCAACCGTATTATTCTATGTTGGGGAAAAACAGCCTTAACGTTATTTTATCCACTGCCAAAACACAGGTCGCCTCTATTTTCATTCCATGAATTTGTAGGTTGCACAGAGTTAGCCCTCCAGATTGGTGTCTTTGATGTTCACCAGGATGTGAAGACCTCAGGAATGGAAAATGGTTGGAAGCATTGATCAATTGTGTGTGTGTGGGGGGTCTTCAATATGTTTTATGGGGTCCACAGCTTCATATGTGTCATGTATATAACGTGAAGTATCAGTACTGAGTCCTATTTGGTAATTTTCAGGAGATCCCATTAATTTGTAGATCATCAAGTTGCACCTTGAGATATGTTGAACACCTCAGGTACGATAAGAAGCAAGTGGCCTCAAGAAGACAAATCTGACCTGTTGCTACAAATGGGAACCCTAAATTGTATCTAGAACTCACCCCAAAGAAGAATAAGAAGGTTTGAATAAATAAGAATTAAGTTTTGAAGGAAAAATATTTTCTTCCAGCCGAACGAAGAAAAATCTATGTTTACAACTCTGCAGAGGGCAGAAACAGATCACCTTCACCCCTACACATCCCAAAATGAAGATTTAGTGATGGAGAATCAACTGAAAAAATATTTTGGAAACTCTGCTTTTGATGTCAGAGTTGAGAAACAAAAACATCTGCTGGGGGACAGGGGTGTCTCATTTTCAAAAAAACCAATTTTTGCTTTGAATAGATTGGTCCTGGGTGAAAAATATTAATTAAAAACAAGCCTATGTTTATGGACAAAAAAAAACAGAACTGTTCAAAATAAAGGGTTCATGAGTCCATTTTGGAAGGGGCTGAAACACCAATTCTGCAGTTTAGTTTGCTGAACTGATTGTTATTGTCGGATTGAAAAAAGACCACCAAGAAAGCTAGATTGCAGAGACCAACGTAGTGACGGTATTAAAAAAAAATTACAGAACTTACACTGACGGCGTTGTTGTCTTGACTTAGTATAAGTTGCGTTTTCATTTTCTTCACTGATCATCAGATGATATCCTTTTGCGAAAAGTCCTGGAAAAAAAATGCCAGGTTGGTGGAATTAACTGAATCATCTGTTCAAAACTAGAAAAACAAACAAACAGGACCATTTTGTTTAAGAAAGTGTGTAAAAATCAGCATTGTGTCTATTTAGACTGCTGGCAGGATAAAAAAAAAAAAATCTGGAATTTCTGGCCATATTTAAATCAATATGCCCAAAGTCGCCTTGAACCGTGAAATGGACAGCAAATAAATTTAATTATAATAATAATAATACATACATACATACCAAATAACTCAATTCCTGCGGTCTGCTATCCTTAATCTTTAGATGTTAAGGAGTTTTACGCCCAATGCGTGGGAAAACATCCTACATCAGAAGACAGAGCCAATTTTTTTTTGTGTGCAGTTTTGAAGACTCTTATATACCTGCAGTATTAAAAAAAAAAATTACCAGAAGATTATAATGCAAAAAAGGAGCTTTTTTTTATAATAAATGTTCTTGTCAGCAGCTGTGCCCCCCCAAACTGTAAGGATTTTAGTCTGCATGAGGTGGTTTTGAGACACCAGCATTTTTCCTCCATCTTTGAGCAGAGAAGACAAGATCAGTTCAACAAGCGCATAACCAAAGCCGACACACACACTGCCGTTTGCATTCCATTCTGCTGGGAAATACTTGAAATTAACTAAATAGCCATAACAAATCTATGCTGTTAACAGAATTTTGATTTTTATCTTTTTTTTTTTTTTTTTGGTCTTTTTTGTTGTGCATTTGCCAGTTGTGTAAGGAACCCATTTTGTCTGTGTTCACGTGACACGTTTAACCAACCCAGTTACAGAAAACCGCTATGTTCACACCTGCTTAAATTTGTCAATATGAACTTAGAGGAATTATTCTGGTTTTGAAGTGTGCAAATTCATCTGGTGAGATAATACATTCTGAGAATTGTCTGAGCTGAGAAAATGGATGAATTTGTTATATTAAATCTTTTTGTGTGTGTGTGAACGCAGCCAGAAAGTATGTCATTGGTCCCTAATATGTTTCATTGTCAATGCTATTTACAAATTGTATGTGGAATAATTACTTACAAACAGCAAACACTTTTGGATATTCAGTGTTCTGTACTAATAAAACAGAACGAAATGTTCCTTTTGTTTCATCATATTCCATATGTGATGGTGCATTTATTTAGGGGAAAGTTTTTTTCTAAGTGTCCCATAGAACCTGGTTTAGTAAACTTTCTCGGTTTACTGCATCTTGAACATCTCAGTAATTCTTTCATGCCGTCCTTAGGTCAAAAGAAATAACTTTATTTCACTGGAAATAAAAAGAAACTAAAAATTGAAAGAAACAAAACAAGATTTTCATTTCATTCTTATATAGCCACAACTGTTAACAGACTAACAGATAAAAGAGATAGATAGTGGCTTGGTTGGGTAGATAGATAGATAGATAGATAGATAGATAGATAGATAGATAGATAGACAGACAGACAGACAGACAGACAGACAGACAGTTTGATGATAGCTAGGTAGATGATAGATTATAGGCAGACAAATGATAGTGATATATATGTATACATATAAAGAGACAGACAAACATAGTTTGATGATAGGTAGGTAGACAGACAGACAGACAAATTCATGCACCTGTTGGGCAGTATGCAACTCTGGAATCAGAGCGGACACCGCACTCACTTTACAGGTAGTCCACAACATAGGACCACAGGGATCAGAATTTTCATTGTTAAGACAGGCGATTATTAGGTAGGTAGGTAGGTAGGTAGATAGATAGATAGATAGATAGATAGATAGATAGATAGATAGATAGATAGATAGACAGACAGACAGATAGACAGATAGACAGACAGACAGACAGACAGATAACCTTTATTGTCATTTTATTGGGACAACGGCATACATTAAAAATGAAATTTAGTTGCTTGCTCTCAAAGTATACATATATATAACACATCTAAACATACTATATACAACATATGTATAGACCTACATCCGTACATATAAGTAACATATAAATGTTAATCACTGTCCATCTTGAATACATAACTGAAAGAGGAAGCTTGAGAGTTCACAAGGTTAATATTGGATGGAACAAAACTGGCTGAATCTGGATGTTCTGCTTTGGATACCATGGAGCCCCCTCCTCCCGGAAGACAACAAGAAAAACAGGTTGTGAAGAGGATGTGTAGCATCCCAGACACAGTCAGTCACACCTGATTTAATGACCTTTTTTGCTACGATTGTTAAGGGAATCACTGCGGTTGATGAGTGAATTATGTGGTCATTAAGAGAATTTGGCTTCTGCCATTGACTCAATGGTCAGAAGCCAGCTGGGAAGGTTGCAAATGGTGATCACCAAGCGGTGGTTAAGTGAATCATACCCATTTTACAATCTTTTTGGCAACCATTGATAAGCAATTCACCATACTTGTTAAGCTGCTCATGTGGTCTTTAAGCAAATCCGGCTTCCTCCATTAACTTTATTTGTCAGAAGCTGGCTGGGAAGGTCAGCAAATGGAAATCACGAGATCCTAGGACACTGCAACTGTTGTAATAATGCTGGCTGCCCCATGGCTAAAATTCGATCACATGTCCATGGGGATGCTGCTGCAATAGTCATAAGTCCGAGGGTCAAAAATCACTTTTTTTCCAGTGCTGCTATGACTTCGAACAGTCCCTAAAGAAATAACTGTACATCAAGAATTATCTCCGCTTGCATTTGATCACAGCAATTGCCTAAAAGCAAGATAAAGACGCTCCAAACTTAAAAAATATCCCCAGTGCTGGGTTTGAGTTTCCCTGCTAATGGAGATTCAGTATGGACCAGGAGTATCCAACCTTGGCAGGTTGGCTGGGAAATACTGGGATTTGAACTGCACGATTTTAAAAGTTGCCAAGGTTGGCCACCCTTGCTGTAGAAAGAAAAAACGCAGGCTGTGGCTTACTCGCTTCATTGTCCTGCCTGCCTTCTGTCCAAAGCGTTATAAGGAAAGGCAAAATGTCTATGTACAGATAGTCCTCAACATATGACCACAATTGAGCCTAAAATTTACTTTGCTAAGTGAGATATTGTCAATTTTGCCTCATTTTAACTTCTCCCCCCCCCCACGGTTCTTAAGTGAATCACTGCAGTTGTTAAATAAGATGGTTGTTTAAGCAAACCGTCATAAATACAAGTCAGTTGCCAAGTGTCTGAAGTGTGGTCACATGACTATGGGGATGCTGCAACAGTCGTGTGAAAAACAGTCATAATTCACTATTTTTCAGTGCCTTTGTAACTTCAAATGGTCATTAACTGAACTGTTCTAAGTTGAGGACTACCTGCAGATTCTCAGTCATCCAGGTCATGGTTGTCCCAAAGGTACTTTCATCCAAGAAGCTTCATCAGTTCTGACTAGATGGGGGGGGGGAACACACACCATCCATTCAGAACAGAGGAAGCTTCTTGGATGAGAAGCTAAATATCTTCAAGGAAAAACAAAGGAAGTCCAGTTGCCTTTTGAAAAAGCACCTTTAAGACAACCACGACCTGGATGACTGAGAACCTCCATAGACATTTCATTTTCGTTGCCATGTTTTCGAAAAGATCCAGGATCTGATTTTTTTTTAACATGAATGAATGCTGTGCTTCAATGGTTAGATGGCCTAGAAGACACTGGTATGTGAGCATAATCTTTCTGACGCTTATATTTTAGAATATTTTATTAATTAGATGAAATGTTAATATATTTGTTAGTCCATGTTTGACGTGCCGTACGTTAAACCAATCCATAGACATCTTTGGAATAAGAAACAGCAGCATACAATAAAAGGCCCAAAATCGCTTCCGCATTCAGCACGTGATTGCAGCGACCGGAAAGACCAGCCAATGAGGAGCCACCTGAGGAGCTCGGCCCCGCCTCCTTAAGTCAGTGGGCCAAGAGCTAAAGGGTTCTTTGCGCTTGCGCACTTGACTCAAGCCGCTTCACGCCCTCTGGCTCCACCCTCGACCATACACAAGATGGCGGCGCCGAGGTCTTTTCCAGTTCCTTGGTCGCTCTTCGTCAGGCCGCCATGCTGGTGAGGGCGAGCGCGGCGCTGCGGCGGGGCCTCCCGCGAAATTTGCACTCGGGCGGCGGCGACATAAAAGCGGCCGCCGTTTGCTTCCCCTTGAGCCACCGCGCGCTCCTCCGCTTGCAAGGCCCGGAGACGGTCCCTTTCCTCCAAGGACTCCTCACCAATGACGTGACCCCTTTCGCCGAGGTGGGCGGAGCCGCGCCGCGCGCGCTTTACGCACACGCCCTCAACGTCCAGGGGAGGAGCCTCTATGACGTCATCGCGTACAGGTGCGTACGGTGCGCTCAGCCGGGCGAGCCGTGGCCGGACTTCGAACGTTCATCATCCGCCGCCATCGGTGGCAGGGAGCGATGGAAGTTGTAGTGCGTTCTTCCGCGCGCGAAAAGGGCTTGTTTCGGAGCTCTGGATAGCCGGATGCTGAGGGCCATGCTACAATGGGCTTTGCAACACTTGCAATATGGTCTTTGTAGTACTGTTGCAATCACTGAAACGGGTTTTTCTTGTATTTTAATTTCCCTTTTTCTCAAGGAAAATGAAAACATGAGGAAACCCAATTGAGCTAGCCAGTGCAAAAGAACTACAAAGCCCAAGTATTGCAAGTATGACAAAATCCATTCTACCTGGCCTTCAGTGCCAATGAAAAGAAAAAAAAGATGATTTTCATGGATTCACTTCCTCTTTCTTGCTTGTACCATCTTTTATCTTTTTTTTATTTTGCTGCAAACCACCCAGAGGGGACCTAGCTAGCAGCCCACTCCCTTCTAACATTGATGATATTATCTAGCTGGGTCCTGAAAGGTCTGCAGAACAACTACAGACTCAGAGAGTACCACTGACCCCACAGTTGTCTCCTCCTCCTCCTCTCCCCCTCCTCCTCGCCAAGCTCATAATATTCCCTAGTGTAGTGGTTCTCAACCTTTTTAATGCCGTGACCCCCAACCGGTCGTAAGTCAAGGACTACTCAACTGGTGCAGCACCGTTTGCAGAATGGGACTTTTGGCGGGCTCAGCAGGGCAGAGACAGCCTGGACAATTCCTATTGCTTTTGAAAGCCAATAGAATTAGACTCTATTCAAGAGAGTCTATTCTATTGGCTTTCAAAAGCCAATAGAATAAAAGGGAGGAGCACAGCTAAGGAAAAGGGGGGGAAAAATGGCAGACTGCGTTGTTTGGCGACCCCTGTGAAATGGTCGTTCGACCCCAAATGGGGTCCCGACCCACAGGTTGAGAACCACTGGGCTAGCGGGATCATGAAATGTCTGCAAGCAAAGCACCAGGGTGCACCAAATAACCCCCAAACACAGTAGCATTTCATAATGCAATTTGGCATGTCCTGCTGTAGGAAACAGCCTCGGATGTTAGCAGGATATCTGTGCCAGGGCGAGGAACCTATGCTATAGCATAAGTCCCCAAACATGGCAACTTTTAAGACTTGCAGACTTCAACTCCCAGAATGCCTTAGAGATCTGGGGAATTCTGGGAGTTGAAGTCCACAAGTCTTAAACGTTGCCAAGTCTAGAGACTTATGCTCTAGCATAGGTTCCTCTCCCTGGCACAGATATCGCGCTAACTTCCTAGACAGGCCAAACTGGAAATTGACATATTAAAGTGGCTGAGTTTGGAGACCCCTGCTGTAGTAGAGGAAGGGAAATGAAACCAGATTTCCGTGTGAAGGCTGTCAAATTCCTTTGCTCATTTTGGATCTGTTTTCAGACTCCATGAAAACAAGCAGGAAGAACCGCACGTCTTGTTGGAATGTGACGCAGGTCTTCTGGACTCCTTCCGAAAACATCTGAAGCTTTATAAGATCCGCAGGAAATTAGACCTCTCGCCCTGTCCTGACCTCTCTTTGTGGGCTGTCATTCCGAAGGAACCGTCGGAGGGTTTGCCTGAGCAAAATGCTGATCAAGCTGTGGTTCTGACTGCAGATCCCAGAGTGAAGATTATGGGTTGGAGGCTGATCATCCGCAAGGACATAAACCCTCTGGAGATCGTCCCCGGATGCCGGCTTGGAGAGCTAAAGGATTACCATCGGCATAGATATCAACAAGGTAAAAGTGCCCTTAGAGCAGTGGTTCTCAACCTTTTTAATGCCGCGACCCCCAACCGGTCGTAAGTCGAGGACTACTCAACTGGTGCAGCACCATTTGCAGAATGGGACTTTTGGCGGGCTCAGCAGGGCAGAGACAGCCTGGATAATTCCTATTGGCTTTTGAAAGCCAATAGAATTAGACTCTATTCAAGAGAGTCTATTCTATTGGCTTTCAAGAGCCAATAGAAT